TGCTGTTAATAAATTCCTTTAGCTTTTTGTTGTCTGGGAAGCTCCTTTTTCCTCCTTTAATTTTAAATGATAACCTTGCTGGGTAATGTAGCCCTGGTTGCAGGCCCTTGCTTTTCACCTCTTTGAATATTTTATGCCACCTGCTTCTAACCTGAAATTTTTCTGTTTAGAAATCAGATGACAATATAATTGGTGCTCTCTTTTATGTAGCTACCTGCTTTTCTCTTCCAGCTTTTAGGATTCTCTCCTTGTGTTTAATAATTTCCATTTTAATTAAGGTGTGTCTCAGTGTAGGCCTCTTTGGGTCCGACTTGTTTGGGACTCTCTGTGCTTTCTATGCTTATGTGTCTTTTTCCTTCAAGAGATTACGGAAGTTTTCAGTCATCATATCTTCAAATAGGTGCTCAATCCCTTGCTCTTTTCTGCATCTGATATTCTCATGATGCGAATGTTGTTACGTGTCATGTTGTCCAAAATGTTTCTTATGTTCTCCTCATTTTTTAAAAAAAATTTTGTTTTTTTTTTTGCTGCTCTGTCTGCGTGTTTTTTTCTGGCTTGTCTTCCAAGTCACTGATTCAGTCCTGTGCTTCATCTTTTCTACTGTTTATTCCTACCAGTGTATTATTTGTTTCAGATATTGCATTCTTTATTTCAGACTGCTCCTTTTTTATGGTTTATATGTCTTTTTTCATGCTGTTGAATATCCTTATAATCTTTATAAACTCTCAATCTGATATATTACTTGTCTGCATTTCATCATCTTCTTCTTCATTCTTCTTCTGGAGAATTCTCTTGTTCTTTCATTTGGGGTCTGTTTCTTTGTATTCCCATTTTGGCTGCTCCTTTGTATTTGATTTTATGTATTAGGTAGATCTCCAAAGACTCTGGTGTAGGCCTTTGTCAGATGCTACTTGTGACTGGCCCCAGTCAACCTTTTTGGAGCTATCTGTGATCCAAGGCATGTGGCTCCCTCTGCTGGGCCTGTTTGTGTGCAGAAAGAACCAGGCTGTATACCAAGGCTGGCTTTTATCCATACTGGGCCCTAGGGAGGTTCAGCTGAAGTCTCATAGAGCTCCCAGAGATGTACTTTAGTTGTAAAACTAAAGAGTGATATAGCCTCAAGCTCTAATCAGCAGCCCTAAAGCTCCAGACTGTGGGACAGAATTATGCCTGTGGATGGGGCTATTGCTTCCCCTTAGGCTGATGCCATTCAGAGAGGAGTGCTCTGACTGAGAAAGATGACTTCTGCTGTATGGGGAATGACTTAGCATGAGGATCCTGGTAGCTGCTAATTCCGTTCTCTCTGCAGAAGCGTGGACCCCAGACTCCCCTAAGTGTCTGTAGTCCACTCTTCCCTGCCTCTGTTGGAGCCCAGGGTAAGTGGCTGCCATCGAAAATTTGTGAATTGTGCCTTTCAGAGCTTCTTTGATCTTCAGCTATCTCTCCCAGACAGACAAAAAACCCTGCTGCTTTTTACAGCTGGATGGTATCTGGGTTCCTTTCTGGGTCTGGTATTGTAGGCTGGGGAGCCAATTTAAGGTTTAGACCTCACACTTCTCAGGGGTAACCCTCTGGCTGCTGAAATATCCCTCTGGAGCTTCATCTGCTGCACATGGGAGCCTAGCCAGCCCTCTCCCACCTCTGCATTCCCTACCAGTCTTGTTGTGGTGAAGTTGTTTCTTCTGTCTGCCTGTGGTTATAAGGCTTCTCTCCAGGTAGTGTTCAGTTGGTTATCCCAGATGATTTCTGTACAATCTTGTAATTCCAGATTGGTCCTGGGAGGAGGTTAGCATAGCTTCTACTTACTCTTCCACCATCTGGGATCTCACATGTTATTTTTTCTTTTTCTAAATTGAAGTAAAATTTACATAGCATAAAATTAATCATTCTAACACTTTATACAATTCAGTGGCTTTTAAGTACTTTCGGAATGTTCTGCAGCTATCACCACTATCAAATTTTAGAACATTTTTTATCACTCTGAAAAGACATCCTATACCTATTAAGTAGTTATTCCCCATTTCTCCCAGCTGCTAATGTACTTTCTGTCTCTACGGATTTGTCTATTCTAGACATCTTGCATAAATGGAATCAATAAAATGTGGCTATTTGTATCTGGCTTCTTTAACTTAAAATAATGTTTTTTAGGTTCATCCATGTTGTAGCATGTATCAGAACTTCATTTCTTCTTACTGTCAATAATATTTCACTGTATGTATAAACCACGTTTCATTTATCCATTCATTCATTCATGAACATTTGGGTTGTGTCCCCCACTGGCTATTATGAATAATGCTGCTATGAACATTTGTGTACAAGTTTTTCTGTGGATACATGTTTTCAGTTCTCTTGGATATATACCTAAGTGTGGGCTTGCTGGATCATATGGTAATTCTATAGTGGATTTATATTTTTAAAAGCTCTGTTTGGCTGTTGAATTGAGGATAGATTGTGTGGGGACAAGGACATAAGTAGGGAGTTCAGTTAGGAGGCTATTGCAACCACCCAGCAGCTAGATCATGATGGTTTGGACCATAATAATGCACTGGAGAGGGTGAGAACTGGTCAGATTCTAGATATACATTGAAGAAAGAGCCAAGAAGATTTGCTAACACACTAGATGTGTGTTTTGAGAGAACAATGGGAGTCAAGGGTGATTCTTAAGATTTTTCACCTGAGAAAAGAAAGGAGGGAGTAGCTATTTGATGAAATTGATGGAAGAGCAAGTTGTGGGGAGGATTAGAGCTTTGGTTTTGGACTTGCTGTGTTTTAACATCCAAGCAGAGATGTCAAGTAGGTTCTTGAAAATATAAGTCTGGCATTTGAGTTAGAGATAAATATAGGAGTTACTAATTTATAAATAATATGAGACTAGATAAGATAACTTAGGAATAATTCTAGATAGTGAAGAGAAACAATCCAAGGAATAAGTCTTGACACATTCAAATGTTAGAGGTCTAGGATACCAGGAAAGACTAGCACAGGAGACAGAGGAGTAGCCAGTGAGGTCAGAGGAACAGGAGAGTTTGATGTCCTGGCAGCCAAGTGAGATTACTTAAGATATTTTTTTTTCTTTTCTTGATGCTCTCACAATTTTCTTAAGGTAAGGGGCCCAGGAATTTTGGCCTATCTTTTAGAGATGAAGATTGTTTGTTTGAATGCCTAAGGTCATTCTTCATTAGGCTGAAAAATATTTCTGCTCTTCTGAATACTGTCTTTAAACCATACTGCTTATTTATGTATATACTTTAAACCCCACTGAGGGTATTTAGTCAAGAATTCAGTCAATAAATATGTGAGTGTCCTGTCTATGCTAGTTTCTCTTCTAGTCATTGGGAACACAGCAGTGAACAAGATACATGATTGCTGATCTCACAGAACTTAGTCTAATGGAGAAAGACATTAAACAAATCATTTGTTTAAATTATTGAACAAATTAATTTCCTTAAAGGCAAACAAATAATTATATATGTCATGACTGCTACAAAGAAGTGAAAATGCTTTAAAAGTACAAAGGAAGGTTATTAATGCAACCTTGGGGTGCCATGGCCAGAGAGTTATGAAGGGATTGACTTGTAAGGAGAGACCTGAAGAAGGAGTAGATTTATCCAGATGAAGAAAAATGGCTATTATGAAAAGAACACCCCAGACAGAGAAAAGAGGGAAGAGGGAGAGTGTTGTCATATTAAGGGAACTGAAAGAGCTTCATCATTGTGGAATTTAAAGTATAAGACGAGGTCCTTTGTCCATGGGCAAAGGATCTGAACACACACTTCTCCAAGGAGGACACACAGAGGGCCCAAAGACATGAAAGGATGCTCAGCACCACTAGCCATCAGAGAGATGCAAATTAGAACCAAAATGAGATACCATTTCACACCAGTGAGAATGGCCATCATAAACAAATTAACAAACAACAAGTGCTAGCGAGGTTGTGGAGAAAAGGGAACCCTAGTACAGTGTTGGTGAGAATACAGACTGGTGTAGCCACTGTGGAGAACGGTATGGTATTTCCTCAAAAACTAAAAATGGAACTGCCATTTGACCTGGAAATTCCACTGCTGGTATAATACCTTAAGAACCATGAAACACCAATCCAAAAGAACCTATGCACCCCAATGTTCATAGCAGCACAATTTTACAATAGCCAAGTGCTGGAAGCAACCTAAGTGTCCATCTGTAAATGAGTGGCTCTAAAAACTATAGTACATTTACACAACAGAATACTGTGCAGAAGGAAGAAAGAAGGAGCTCCTACCTTTTGTGACAGCATGGTTGGATCTGGAGAGCATTATGCTAAGTGAAATAAGCCAGGTGGTAAAAGACAAATACCATATGTCACCTATAGGTGGAACCTAATCAACAAAACAAGCAAGCAAAATATAACCAGAGACCTTTAAATAAAGAACAAACTGACAGGAACTGGGGGGGTAGGGATAATGGGGGGAAAGGGGGGTCATCAAGGAACTATGTATAAAGGACACATTGGCAAAGCCAAAGTGGGGTAGGGATGAGGGTGGGAGGTGGGGATGCATGGGGTGGAAGGGGGTGATTGGGGGAAAATGGAGACAACTGTCTCCATTTGTTATATCGGTACAACAATATAAAGAAAGAGAGAAGGGGGAGGGAGGGAGAGAGAAAAAGGGAAAGAAAAGAAAAGGAAAGAAAGAAGGAAGGGAGGGAGGGAGGGAGGGAGGAAGGAAAGGGAAGGGAAAGGAAAGAAAAGGGAAAAAAGAAAGAAAAGAAAGAAAGAAAAAAGTATAAAGTGAGAGATGGAGGGTAAAAGATGAATGCTGAGAGGTGAGGATTTTCTTGACATGCTAAGGAATTTGGACTCAATCCCAAAAACAATGGGGAATCACTGAACGGTTTTAACAGTACTCAGATATTTATCTTAGCAAAATCATTTAGGCTGCCATTGTCAATGGGTTGGAAGGAAGCCTGATGCCTGGTAGGACAGCCCACTTCCTTTATATCTTGGCTCTTGGGTTTTATTCTAGTGTGCCATTTGAAGTGCCCAAGCTGAAAAGTGGAAAGAGTGCACTGGATGCTGAGAGTGAGAGTCTGGATAGCTACACGGCTGACTCAGATAGCACATCCAGGTGAGATCTCCCAAAGTCCCTGTGCATCTGCTCAACCCAAGTTCCCAGTTTGTTCTCCAGCATGAGGATGTAGGGTACCTATACCTTCAGTATTCCTGATTTCTCCTCAGCAAGTCAAATGAAGTCTCTCTGACCTTGCTACTAGTCTTTCTATAGTACTTCAATGGTTGTCTCTCATCACAGCCTTCAGGAGCACACTAACTTCCACAGGCTACTGCACCTTGGAGGAATCTTCCTGGACCAACAGAAACATGATGCTGTCCTTTAGGAATGTTTGTGTTTCCGCAAAGTTGCTTATGTTCCTTCTAGGGAAATCTGATGTGAAATTAACATTCTGGATTTGGTTGCTACAATGACCCCAATCCAGTGGCTCTCCTTCCATAGAGCTTGGGTTCCTAGATAGAACAGGAAGGAGAAGAGGTAGTTTTGCTTTAACTTCTGTGTCTACCTTCAGGAGAGACTCTCTGGATAAATCTGGCCTTTTTCCAGAATGGAAGAAGATGTCTGATCCCAAATCTCAAGTAGAAAAGGTAAATACCTCTCTCTCTCCTCCCACTTTCTCTTCACTCTCCCCCTCCCTGCTCTTTCATTTATCAGGAAGAATTTAAATGAAAAATTCAACTGAATAAATTTTACTTCAGATTCTCTTCAGAGCATTTTCTAAGGTTCTGCTTAAAACAAGAGAAAGTAGGTTTTGTACTACTTCCTAGGATTAAATTAAATTCCCAAGATTAAGCTTTCCTTTAAGTTTGTAATAGTTTAGCGAAACTCAGCCTTCTTCTTTTTTCATTTTTACTAACTTTTTAAAAATTTATTTTTCTATTACAGTTTACATTCAATAATATTTTGTTTTAGTTTCAGGTGTACCACATAGTGGTTACACAACCATGTGTGTTATGAAGTGAACACCTCAATATTTCATGTACCGACTTGGTATCACATGTAGTTATTACAATATTGACTATATTTCCTATGCTACAATTTATATTTTGTAATTATTATGTAACTACCAATTTGTACTTCTAATCACTTTACCTTTTCCACTCAGTTCCCAAAACCCTCCCCTCTAGCAACCATCTGTCTGTTCTCTATGTCTATGAATTTGTTTCTATTTTATTTTTTTGTTCTTTACATTCCACATATAATTGAAATCATATGCTATTTTTCTTTCTGTGTCTGACTTATTTCTTTAGCATAATACTCTCTAGGTCCATCCATGCTGTCACAAATGGTAAGATTTCATTCTTTTTATGGCTGAATAATATCCCATTATATATATCACTACTTTTTTATCCACTTGTCTGTAGATGAGTACCTAGATTGCTTTCATATCTTGCCTGTTGTAAATAATGCTGCAATGAACATAATGGTGTATATCTTCCTTCAAATTAGTGTTTTTCATTTATTTGATTGGATCCTAAGATGTGAAATCACTGAGTCATAAGGCAGTTCCACTTTTGATTTTTTGAGGAACCGACACAGTTTTCCAAAGTGGATGAACCAAGTTACAATCTCATCAACAGTTCATGAGGGTTCCCTTTTCTCCAGATCCTTACCCACACTTGTTTGTTGATTTATTGATAATAGCTAATCTGACTGGTGTGAGGTGATATGTCATTGTGGTTTTAAGTTTCATTTCTCTGATGTTAGTGACATTGACCATCCTTTCGTATGTCTCTTGGCCATCTGTATCCTCTTTGGAGAAATGTCTATTCAGGTCTTCTACCCACTGTTTGACTGGATTGTTTTTATTGTTGTTAACTTCTCTGAGTTCTTTTATTTTTATTGTTAAACTTTTAATTTTTATTTTATATTTTTAAACTTTATTGTTGTTCACGTATAGTTATCTGCATTCCCCCCCACTGCCTCTCCACCCCAGTCATCCCCAACTTCTTCCCCTGATTCCATCCCCCCTTGGTTTTGCCCATGTGTCCTTTATACTTGTTCCTCAAAACCTTCCCCCCCTCCCCCCATTATCCCTTCTCACCTCCCCTCTGGTTACTGTCAGTTTGTTCTTAATTTCAATGTCTCTGGTTATATTTTGCTTGCTTGTTTGTTTGTTTTGTTGATTAGATTCCTGTTAAACGTGAGATCATATGGTATTTGTCTTTCACTGCCAGGCTTATTTCACTTAGCATAATGCTGTCCAGATCCATCCATGCCTTCTCAAAGGGTAGGAGCTCCTTCTTTCTTTCTGCTGGATAGTATTCCATTGTTTAAATGTACCATAGTTTTTTGATCCATTCATTTACTGATAGACACTTACATTGCTTCCAGCACTTGGCTATTGTAATTTGTGCTGCTGTGAAAATTGGAGTGCATATGTTCTTTTGGATTGGTGTTTCAGAGTTTTTAAGATATAATCCCAGCAGTGGAATTGCTGGGTCAAAAGGCAGTTCCATTTTTAGGTTTCTGAGGAAATTCCGTAGTGTTTTTCACAGTGCCTGCACCAGTATGCATCCCTACCAACAGTGCACTAGGGTTCCCTTTTCTCCATATCCTCTCCAACATTTGTTGTTTGTTGATTTGTTTATGATGGCCATTCTCACTGGTGTGAAGTGGTATCTCATTGTGGTTTTAATTAGCATCTCTCTGATGGTGAGTGATGCTGAGTATCTCTTCATATGTCTCTGGGCCCTCTGTATGTCCTCCTTGGAGAAATGTCTGTTCAGGTCTTTTGCCCATTTTTTAATTGGGTTTTTTTGTCTTCCTGCTGTGGAGTTGTGTGAGTTCTTTATATATTTTGGAGATCAAACCCTTGTCTGAGGTATCATTTGCAAATATGTTTTCCCATATGGTTGGTTCTTTTTTAATTTTACTGCTGTTTTATTTAGCCATACAGAAGCTTTTTATTTTGATGAGGTCCCATTTTTTATTCTTTCCTTTATGTCCCTTGCTCTAGGGGACACATGGGTGAAAATATTGCTGTATGGAATATCTGAGATTTTCCTACCTATGTCCTCCTCTAGGACTTTTATTATATCACAACTTATATTTAAGTCTTTTACTCACCTTGAATTTATTTTTGCATATGGGGTAAGTGGGTGATTGAGTTTCATTTTTTTGCACATAGCTGTCTAGCTCCCCCAACTCCATTTGTTGAAGAGGCTATTTTTACTCCATTTTATGCTTCTGCCCCCTTTGTCAAATATTAATTGACCATAGAGACTTGGATTTATTTCTGGGTTCCCTGTTCTGTTCTATTCATCTATGTGTCTGTTCTTATGCCAGAACCAGGCTGTTTTGATTACAGTGGCCTTGTAATACAGTTTGATATCAGGTATTATGATCCCTCCTTCTTTGTTCTTCTTTCTCAAAATTGCTGCAGCTATTCTGGGTCATTTTTCAAAATTGCTGAAGCTCTTTGAGATCACTTATTGTTCAATATAAATTTTTGAAATGTTTGTTCTCTATCTGTGAAACATGTCATTGGTGATTTTAATAGGGATTCCATTGAATCTATAAATCACTTTAGGTTCTGAGTTCTTTATAAATTTTGGATATTATCAGGTGTATCATTAGCAAATGTGTTCTCCCATTCAGTAAGTATTCTTTTCATTTTGTTGGTTATTTCTTATGTTTTGCAAAAACTTTGTCTTTTAATATAGTTCCACTTGTTTACTTTTTCTTTTGTTTCCCTTCCTTGAGAAGGCATATCAGAAAACATATTACTAAGGGAAATGTCAGACAGTTTACTGCGTAAGTTTACTGTTAAGAGTTTTATGATTTTGGGTCATAAACTTAAGTCTTTAATCTGTTATTCTGGTATGTGATGTAAGGAAGTGACCTAGTTTATTTTATTTTATTTTATTTTATTTTATTTTATTTTATTTTATTTTATTTTATTTTATGTGTCGATCCATTTTCCCAATACCATTTATTTACTTATAAATTTATTTTAATTCTCACCTGAGGATATGCTTATTTTTTATTGATTTAAAGAGGGAAGGAGAGAGAGAGACGAGAAGGGAAGGGAAGGGAAGAGAGGGGAGAGGAGGGGAAGGGAAGGGAGGAGAGGGAAAGGAAGGGAGATATGAAAGAGGGGTATGAAAGGGAAACATTGATTGGTTGCCCCCTGTACATGCCCCGACTGGGAATTGAACCCATATCCTTTTGGTTTATGGGACAAGTCTCCAACCCACTGAGCCATGGAGCGAGGTCCCCAAAACAGTTTCTTGAACACACTGTCATGACCCCAGTTGTTCTTCCTTTGTTATGTATTAATTGATCATATCGGTGTGATTTTATTTCTGGGCACTCTATTCTGTTCCATTGGTTTATGTGTCTGTGTTTATGCTGGTACCATACTGTCTTGATTACTATGGCATTGTTGTATGGTTTGATATAAGTAGTGTGTCACCTCCAGCTTTGTTCTTCTTTCTCAAGATTGCTGTGGCTATTAGGGTCTTTTTTAGTTCCACAAATTTTTGAATTATTTGTTCTAGGTCTGCGAAATATGCCATTGGTATTTTGATAGGAGTTGCATTGAATCTATAGATTGATTTGGGTAGTATGGAAATTTTAATGATGTTAATTTAACTTCCTGAACATAGTATATGCTTCCAATTATTTTTATGTTCTTCAGTTGTTTTTTTCTTTAATGTCATAACAATTTTCTGAGTACAGGTATTTTACATCCTTGGTTAAATTTATTCCCAGGTATATTTTTCATGTAATTGTAAGTAGTATAGTTTTCTTAATTTCCCTTTCTAAAAGAATTTTATTGTTACTATATTAGTGTTGTTCTCATTCTCCCCTTTGCCTTCCTCTGTCCAGCCAACCACCCGCTCCCAGTCAGTCCCCATAGTGTTGTTCATGCCCATAGGTCATTCAAACATGTTCTTTTACTGTTCCTCTGCCCTTCCTTCCATCATTATCCACACCCTCCACTCTGGTCACTATAAGTTGTTCCATGTTTCTAGGCCTATGGTTCTATTATGCTCATTAGATTAGTTTGTTCATTAAATTCTTCTTACATGTGAGATCATATGATATTTGTCTTTCACCAATGGCTTATTTCACTTAGCATAATAATCTCCATTTCCATCCTTGCTGTCACAAAAAGTAGGAATTCCTTCTTTCTTTGTGATGCATATTATTCCATTGTGTAAATGTACTGTTTTTTTATCCACTCATTAACTGAGGGTCACTTAGGCTGTTTCCAGCACTTGACTATTATAAATAGTGCTGCTATGAACATATGGGTGCTTAGGTTCTTTTGAACTTGTGATTCTGGATTCTTAGGGTATATTCCCATCAGTAGAATAACTGGGTCAAAAGGCAGTTCCAGTTTTAATTGTTTGAGGAGATTCCATACAGTTATCTACAGTGGCTACACATCAGTCTGCCTTCCCACAAATGATGCACTAGGGTTCCCTTTTCTCCCCATCCTCACCAGCAATTGTTTGTTGATTTGTTAGTGATGGACATTCTGACATGTGTGAGGTTATATATCTCATTGTGGTTTTAATTTGCATCTCTTTGATGGCTAGAGATGTTAAGCATCTTTTCATGTTTATGGGCCATCAGT